TTCACAGCTTGCCTCAGGCTTTCCTTAGGTTTTCGGTGTGAAATCGAAGTTTAACTTATGGAAAATAGGGACCCCGTTCCTTATTTAGGGTTCCTTAGGTCAACGCCCCTTCTGCACTGCTGGTCAGAGATGGGAAAGACGATGCTGCATGCTTACACCGTGCGAGCTGCCAGCTAGCCTCCGTGCGAGCGGACGACGCCTGGACTGCGAGGGAACTCTCGGGTGGTTCTGGCCCGAGATATCCTCAAGACCTGGGCACGTGAAAACAAGCATTTCTCAGGAGGGGAAAAAACACACAGACACAATTAATCGTCCACTCCCAGGAAAATATGGGAAAATATTGGAAGTAGGGGGAAGACAGAAACCCCAAAAATATATGAAAATATGGGGAATGTTTTTATTTGTGTGTATTTATTTGTGTGTCCTGGGGCCCCTTCAATATCCTCAAGACCTGGGCACGTGAAAACAAGCATTTCTCCCGAGACATCCTCTGAGTTCTGGACCCCAGGAGAGGACCATCGATCACACGAAACGAGCGTTTCGCTCGAGATACCCTCAACAATTTCTGCAAAACAAGCGTTTCTCCCGAGGCATCCTCTGAATTCTGGACCCCAGGAGAGGACCATCGATAACACGAAACAAGCGTTTCGCTCGAGATACCCTCAACAATTTCTGCAACACAGGCGTTTCGCTCGCAGCTTGTTCCTCACGCCCGAGGGCCCCCTAGCAAAGTTTTTGAGGATGGTTTCACGGCTCAACAGAAAAACATGGGCCGTGCGACTGACGGCGTTGTGGTGGAAAGGCCGTTCCTCGCACTTCGAAGGACAGGCCACTAAGCTTAAGTCGGGCCTGTCCCTCTGCAGGAGGAAGATTCAAAAATAGTCCCAAAAAATTGTCCTGCGACGTTTTTTTTGTGATGCCTATTTGTTTGGAGTATGTTCTTAATTATTTGTAATACTTCTTCCAAAATCCGTCTGAAGGGGGACACGCCCGACCTGAAACGAAGCGTGCTGATCGGTGTGCCAAGGTGGGTGCTGGCCGTCACCCGGCCGTAGGTGTTGCCACGGGAACGCTTTTCGGACTTGGAGGAATTGTGGACATGCATCTGCAGATGGGGATTCACATGGTTTGTTTCGATTCCTCCGGTTCGATGCGGTACGATTTCGATGGTTTCCGATGCCGGTCCCATTCGATTTTGGATTCCGATTTGGGCTCCGATTTCTCAACGGAGACCTACTAGCCTGCCGATTTCCGCCGGTTCTTTTCCCGACTCGGCTGCCGATTCCGCCGATCCGACTCGTGTCCATCGCCGATCCGACATCGATTCGATTCTGGGCGGATTCAAGACGTCCTGATTCGGCACGAACCAAATGGGCACGGAAAGAATGGGTACGATGCCCAACAGCAGTTCCTGTTCCGTTCAATTTGAACAGGTCTCGCTGTCCGCGCCGCCGCGGCCTGTGTCCACTTGAGACAGAAGGCCGCCTTCCCGACAGCGGCCGCTGTTGGTTTGGGACAACATTTGTTGTGGGGCATTGGTTGAAGGTCGCTGGGGCGGCAGCGTTGTTTCGAGGGCCAGATCCCGCACGCTCGGCGGGCGCGCTTGATCGGTCAACAGCAATCCTTCCAGCCGCCCTTCGCGAGAAGCTCTGATGTCAGGTTTGCTCGTGCCGACGATTGGGCTGCTCATGCTTGCTCTTGCCCTACAAAAGGATTGCCCTCTCCCCCGTCGCCCCAGAAACACAGATCGCGTTCGCTGCCTCTCAGCGAGCTTCAGGGCATTGGTACCCATTTTTGTAGGTAATTACCCACGGTACCCATTTTTGTCGGTAACTACCCACGTACTCGATTCTGGGCGGAGTCAAGACGTCCTTTGATGAGCCAGCGGGGCTGCCCTGACTCGGCGGGGCTCCCCGAGGAGGCCGGTCACGACGACCCCGGCAGAACCCCGCACCTCCCATTTCTGCTTCTCTCGTGAGCGTTCGGCTCGTCGGGCTCGCAAGAAGGATGAGGATGAGTCTCGGTATCGTTGAACCGACCCTCCTCCTCCTCCTCCTTCTCCTCCTCCTCCTCCTCCTCCTCCTCCTCCCTCCTCCTCTTCCTCCTCCTCCCTCCTCCGCCCCCTCCTCGTCCTTGGCTCCCCTCCTCCTCCTCCTCCTCCTCCTCCTCCTCCTCCTTCCTCCTCCTCCTCTTCCTCCTCCTCCTCCTCCTCCTCCTCCTCCCTCCTCCTCCTCCTCCTCCTCCTCCTCCTCCTCCCCTCCTCCTCCCTCCTCCTCCTCCTCCTCCTCCTCCTCCTCCCCCTGCTCCTACTCCTCCATCTCCTCCTCCCCCTCCCCCTCCTCCACCTACTCCTCCTCCTCGGGTCGCCTACGGCCCCGGGGGAAACTGTGCACCCGGCGAGTCTCCCCGAGCGGCCCCAGGCTGCTGAATCTCGAGGTCTTGGTTTTCCAACTCGGCTTGTGCAGTTCGGTATCGTTTAACCGACCCCCATCCCAATCCTCATCCCCTTCGAGACCCCCATAAAATGACCACCCCAGTTGGGAATACACCCCTCGAAGCCCGAAGGGAACGGCCTATATCCCCATCCAGGGGGGTGAATCGGCCAGTGGGGCCCAGGCCATGCCGCTGTTGATGGGGAACGGTGAAACGATGCTCAGAATCGGCCAGATCAGACGCACGCGCGCCGCTCTTGAGTTTTCGGGCGCCCCTGTTTCTCGACGCCGCTCCGCCCGCAGCGTGTCACAGCACTGCACCTCACCGATGATGGCGGTCTGGGACGAGAAGGGTGCGAGGGTTTGCGGGGCGGGGCTGGCGATGACATGTATAACAAGGACGCCCTCGAGGGCGCGAAGTTATTCGCGCTTCGCGGTTCGGCTCCGATTCCTCCTCATCCTCTTCTTCTCCTTTGGGAGGTCCGTGGCCATTTTGGCTCAAGGGTCTTCGGTGCTCTCAAGCTGTTGGCACGGGCGCTCGGCCGCTAACCTTTACAGACGTCAAACCCCTCCAAAAAGCAAATCAACATGAAAAGCGAAACCCATGGAAAATGCAAAAGCTGCCTTTCGCAAACCCTCCCAAAATGTTAACATCGCTTGCGCAGCAAATTGCGATAATCTCGAAAGACGGCGGCCGCGTGCAAACATCAAGTTCGGACCCAGGTCCTGAAAACCAATGGTTTCCCGAAGCCCCCCTGCCTCCCCCCAAGGGCCCCGGTTCAACCCAGAGCGCTCGTGCATCCCGATTTCGGGGGGTGGCGGACGTGCTGGCGCTGGCCTTCAAGACAAATGTGGCAAACGAGCCACCCCTAGCACCCGGGCGGGCTGCTCCCTCCGAGCTGGCCCCGAGCGCCCAAGGGGACGTCCACCGAGAAGGGGAGTCAGGAGTCAGGAGTCATCAAGAAGGCGCGGGTCTGAGGTCCACGGAGGGCCTCGCGCGGCCCGAGCCCCTCGGCCGCCCGCACGGGCGGAGCGAAGCCACGACCGTCTCCCGCCCACAGGGGGACGTGGCGGGAGATCCCGTCGGGCGGACGCCCAGCGGCCGAGCCGCGCGCGAAGCGGGGCCGCGGCCGCGGGCCGTGGCGGGCGGGTCGAGCGCGAGGGTCCGCCCCGCGTCGCCGCTGCCGCCGCCGCCGCCTCCGCCGCCGCCTCCGCCGCCGCCGTCGCCGCCGCCGCCGAGCCCCGCCGCCGCCGCCGCCGTCGTCGTCGTCGTCGTCGTCGGATCTTGACGTCGTGGTCGTCCTCTTCGTCGTCGTAATTGTTATCGTCGCCGTCGCCGCCGCTTTCGTCGTCGCCGTCGTCGCGTCGTCGCCGTTGCCGCCGTCGCCAAAGACGACGCCGACGGCGATGGCGGCGGCGGCGGCCGCCACCGCGCGAACCGTCCAGCCCTGGGCGGCCCCTGCTGCGGGGGGCCCCCAAGGGTCGTCGGCCCCGCCTCTCGAGTGGACCTCGCGCCGCGGGCCGCCTTCTACAGGCCCCGGGCACAACGTCGGCGTCAAAGAGCACTCTCAATGGCGTTGCTCTCGGTGTTTCGGACCGGAGAATTACGATGGCACCATTTTCAAGAAACCTCCAAAGGCCAAGGTAGACATAACAGGCTGATTGGTAAATGATCCACACACGCTGCAGTTTCATAGTAAGCTCCGCCTCTGGTATTGCATAGGATGTGGCTGCTATGCTAACCAACAGCTCCGTGAACCAGGCAAGGTGTGCACGCTTACGATCACACAACATAGATCTGGGCACGTGGACAGGATCTCGAGAGGTGCACGGCCAAATGATTTAAATGCTACAGAGAAGCACGCACGAGGCATCTTACTGTAACTCATGCTATACATTTGGCAGGCGAAGCTTGCGCGATACCGAATATTGTCGCTCTAACCGCTTGCCTGTGGCCAGCGACTTTAGAGCGATACCGAATGTTGTCCCTCTAACTGCTTGCTGCCGCTGATTAATTGATTTAGTGTAACTCACGCTTCGCACCAAGTCTTGACATACTCATGCAGTCACGCTCATGCTCATGCTCCCCTCCCCCCGTCCGCCCTCCCTCCGCCCTCCCTCTCGCCCCCTCCCCCCTCCGCCCTCCCTCCGCCTCCCCTCCCTCCGCCCCCCCTCCCTGGCCGGCTCCGGGGGCGTATTATTCTTTCCCCGATCGCATCTCGGAGCCCATCCGCCAGCGTACTGGCCAACGCAATGTCAGCTCATTGCTACCTGGAACTGGGGTTCAATGTCAGAACATTGCTCTCTGAAGTGCGGGCACGGGCGCCCGCCAAAAAGTCAAGCCGAACGCGGGCCCCCTCGCCTCACGGCTACCCTTGCAGGCAGAGCCCCCCCGCCTGTTCGAAGTTTCCCCGCGCCACAGCTCATGGGTTGTGTTTCTTGTCAGCCCCCTTTTTAGGTTTTGCAGCCGCCGGGGGGGCCGCGGCCGCGGGGGCGGCCGCGACCGAGGGCGCAGCCGCGGACGCTGCCTCGCCGGCGGCGCCCTTCTTGGCCTTCTTGCTCGCCGACTCGAGCCGCTCCTGCAAGGATGGGCTGATGGCGTGCCACTTGCGCTTCTTCAAGCCGCCCAGGATCCTCTGAACCAGGTCGTGGCGGACTTCCCCGGGGCCTAGCGGCCGCACCGTGCTCTGCGCAAGCGTGAAGTCCGCCAGAACAGATCCCGCCGCCTTCAGCTGCGGGGACTCCTCCTTGAAAGCGTCCGCGACTTCCTCCTGCGTGCGCTGCAGAAGGATGCCGTCGAACATCTTGTATGTGTTGAGCCAGCCAGCAACGTAGGAGAAGTCGGCTTCCTTCTCGAGCACCCGCACCTGCTTCATAGCCTCGTGGAGGTTGGTGACGCACTCGTGCTCGAGGGCCTTCTTCACCTCGGATACGTCAATCTCTGCGGCCCCCAAACGCTTCACCAAGGCCTGGCAGTCTGGGTCCTCCAGCGCCTTACTCACGCGGTCCACCGCCTCCCTGCAAGACTCCGCCTGCTTAGCCAGCCAGGTCTCCAGCGCCCCGCGGCACGCCGTCTCGACGTGTCCCTGCACCTTGCCGACGTGCGCCGCCAAACCGCCGAACTGCGGGACGACGTCGGCGCGCAGGACCTCTGAGGCTGCGTGAATGGCCGCCAAGGCGTTCCGAAGGGGAGCTAGCTGGGAGAAGCCCGCCGTCAGGAGGCCCTGGTGGAAGGTCCGCGCCGCGCGGCATGCCTTGTAAAGCTGGGGGCTGGCGCAGCAAACGGGGAATGCCACTGCCCCGTCGCCCACCGTAATGTCTGCGGACATGCCGGCGAAGGAGGCGCACTGGACTGCAAAGGCTGCCACCTTGCCGAGCTGGTCCGAATCCTGCGCGTCCTCGTCGCTGGCCGCCTTCACCAAAGCTTTCGGCGCCGCCGCGTCGACGAGCGACGTGGTGATCGAGGCGACGTCTACGTCCTCCACACTCTTCGACATCGCCGTAACGAAGCCAGAAATCGTCGAGAGGCCGCTGGTGAGACGGGCGCGCACCCCCTCGACAACTTTAGCCACCACTGCTTGCTGGAAGGCATTGAACTCCGTCGCCCCAGCAAGCCACTCGGCAAGGAGCGTCAAGGCGGCGAGGAACTTCTTCCCTTTGCCGTCCAAGATGTCAACGTTGTTCTGGGAGAGGTTCTGCAGCCAGGGGACGCCCGCCTTCAAGTCAGCTGCGGCCGCATCGAACTTAGCCACGTCCTCCTCGTACGCCTTGGCGGCCTCGGTGCCGCCAATGCCTGCCAGGAAAGCCATGTCCTTCGCTGGGACGCACGTCAGGCCGCCGATGGCCTCCTCCACTCGGGTCACGTCTCCCTCCTCGCCAAAAGCATTGTTGAAGATCGGGGTGGCGACTTTCGCCGCCGCCGCGGCCCGGCTATCCCTGACGGCCTTGGACGCTTCCCTTGCCGAAACGACGAACCTGCCGAGCAACTGTTCGACCCGGGCAAGGTCGCCCTTCGAGACCTTGGTGAAAACCGAGGAGCAAGTAGACGTGATGCCCGTGAACTTCTTGTATGCGTCCGCGATGTCCGAATGATGCGGCAGCTTCACGCCCGATGGGGTTGACTGGCCATTCACCTTCGTCACCACCGTGAAACTGGCGACGTTGGCGGCCGCCGTTGCCAAAGCATCGACCTCGGGCCACACAGCAGTGGCCAGGCGGACGAAAAATCAAGCTTGGGGGGGGGCGTTTCCCTGCGAAGCCCGCGTCGGGGCATGACGGCCGCCAAAACGGCCCCTGGCGATTTCCGACCCCAGGGGTTCTCGAATATCAATAAATGGGGACCTTCGCAACCAACTCTTGCAAGATCACGCTGTTCGCCTTGTCGGCGTGCCTGCGCTCGAAAACCTTCTCCGCCTCGACTCGCGCGGCCATGCCAGTACTGTACAAGGTGACCGCCTTGTAGAAGGCACCCTGTTTGTTCGCAACTAGCCCGTCCCGCGCCACCTCAGCCCGCGTCAACAACTCGCCGTCCTCGAGGGCGGGGGCGCGCAGCAGCAGGGTGAACTTCTCGAGGTCGTCCTTGAAGGCAGCGTCCAGGATGAAAGGGTTCTCCCCGACCTCCGTAGCCACAGGCACTTTGGAGAGCAGGGCCCCCATGCCAGCCATGGCGTCCGCCACCTTCGTGCATTCCGTCGGTTTCGTCTTGTCCGGCTCCACCTTGGCGAAGCCCAAGACATACTCCAGCAAGATTCTCTTCTGCAGGGCCGCCCGGTCGTCGAGCGCGACGATCGGAAGGCCGTGGTCGTTCGAGGACGTTGGATTAAGAATGTCCACGAGGCGGTCCCAGTCTTTCTCCTGGCCCGCCGCCTTGGCCGCGCGCGTCACCACCACTTCCAGGATGTAGTCCGTCACGTCCACCTTTGCTTCTTTCACCTTCGTGTACTCTGACATCAGCATCTCTGCCGAGACAAGCTCGCCCTGCGTGGCCTGCAAGCTGGTGACCAAGCCCGTCACGACACGCAAGAAACGTTGGTTCTCGCGCAACTGGGTGAACACCTGCATGCCCTGGGATTCTGCGTCGGGCTCCCCTGGCAAGACGGCGCCCGTGTCGGAGTAGTTCGACGAGTACATGTTGATCAAGTCCGAGGTGAGCCGCTTCTCCACGGCAGCGACCAAAGTCTCCACAGTCTTGGCGGTCAGCGTGAGCACCAGGCGGGGGTCGGTGAAACTCTGGCGGAACTGCTTGCACTTCAACGAGGCCTGCTCGGACTCGTTGAAAGCTTTCTGCACAACCGTCTTTGACCATTGCTTCACGGGGGTTAGCTCGGGTAAGGCCTTTGGCTTTGGCTTTGCCTTAGCCTTTGCCTTGGGTCTGGCCCTCGGGCTCGTCGGCGCCGTCTCCCCCTCGTCCGCGGGGGGGCCACCGGTGCCCGCATCCCCGTCGCAATCCGCTTCGTCGCTGCGGGAGCCCCCACTGCCATTCGCCCCATGCTTCCTGCTGAACACGGAATCCAGAAAAAGGTCGTCCGCATCCACGTCGCCCGCAGCAGCGTGGCCACGCCCACTGGTCACTTTCAGGGCCCCGTCCTTCTCGGTTGAGGAGACCCTCACCCGTTTCAAAGCTTGCTCTTGAGCTTTGTCGACGTCTGCAATGTCGCCGTACGCCGTGGACGCGAGCTCGCCGTTGCGGTCGACGGCGTCCTGGCTGACAGTCCACACCTCGATGGCACGAGTGGGGTCTGGGCCGGCCTCTTTCATCCAGACGCCGGTGACCTTTTTGCCTGGGGGTGCACCAATCCATCCTCCTCCTCGTCCTCCTCCTCCTCCTCCAACGGTGTCCCAACGGTGTCTCAGCGGTGGCCCAACGGTGTCCCAAAAGTGTCTTAGCGGTGGTCCAACGGTGTCCCAGCTGTGTCTTAGCGGTGTTCTGGCGGCGCCTTCACGGGGTCCTGTCTCCGTGGTGTCCCGATGGCGTCTCAGCGCGCGGCTGGTTTGGGAAGAAATTGTATATTGCAAATTGAGTTCGTCTCCTGGCGACCTTGATGTTTCGTACTCCCGAGTTGCTTCCGGTCGGGCTTGGCCCCACCATTGTTCTCAGACCAGTACGCGGTGGGCCACAAGTAGCCCACGAACTTCCGGCTCTCGGTCATCGCCGTCGAGCGTGCTTGGACGGTCTGGCGGCCACTGGGGGTTGCCCGCACCCTGCCCCCGTTCGTGTTCCTGTCCGACTCGTACTTCGCGAGCTTACCGTCGAGGGCCTTCTGGTTTTCCTCGGAATAAGACTCATGGCCTGGCGTCACAGAATCCAGGAGAACCTGCCTGTTCATGTTCTTGTAGTCTGGGTCTGCAGCTATCATGTTCGGGCAAATGCTGCACTCCCGCCCTCCCTGGCGGCGCCAGCATAAGAACGGATTCCTCTCCTTCAGATGGTTCAGCGGCTGGGGCGTGTTCTGGTCCCGCTTGCACCATTTGCATGAGCAAACGAACTCTCCAGCACCCGCCGCGCCATCTCCGAAGACGGACTCCAGCGGCATCGTTGGCGGCTCGCTGGGACCCCGACGCTGCGCTTGCCAGCCGGCGCCGCGGGAACGTCCAGAACTGGCCGCAGACAGGCCCTGCGCAACGTGGCTGCGAAAAAATGGTGGGGGTGAATGCTTGCGGACGGCCATAAGCAGGCCGGCGGTGGAGAGGAAGGGGGGCGGCGGGCAGAAGGGAGGGGGGAGGAGGGGAGGGGAGGGAAGGAGGGGAGGCAGGCAGGAAAGGAGGGGAGGGGGGGAGGGAGGGAGGGAGGGAGGAGGGGAGGGAGGGGAGGGAAGGGAGGGAGGGAGTTTCAGGGGAAGGGGGGGGGGGGAAGGAGGGGGGGCAAGGGGAGGGAGGGAGGGGAGGGGCTGAGTGGTTATGTTTCCCGTCGTCCTCAGCGCCGCGGGGACGCCTTGGCCGCTGCCGCCTTGGCCGCCGCCGCCTTGGCCTCCGCGGGCCAGCGGTGGCGGCCAGCGCCGTCCCTTCTGGGAAGGGGGGCCTCATTAATGCTGGACCACGCCTCCCAGCATCGCTGCTCCGCGTGGAGCTCGTTCCTCGCCACCTCGGCGGCGAGCTTCGCGGCCTCCGCCGTGGCCGCCGCGGCCGCCTGTGCCTGGCGCGCGACGGCGGCCGCGGCCGCCGCGGCCGCCTCTGCCTCGCGCGCGGCGGCCGCCGCCTGCCGCTCAGCCTCCAGGGCGGCCCCGGCGGCTGCCAAGGCCGAGCGCGCGGTCTCCAGCTCGGCGGCCAGCCGGCGGTTCTCATCCGCCAGCTCGGCCGCCCGAGCGCGCGCGGCGTCGCGCTCGGCGACCGCCTTCTTGCCGCCGCTCGGGCCAGAGCGGCTCGAGCGGCGGCGCTTGGCCGCGGGCGCCGCGGCCTCGCCGGGGGCGGCGGGGGCGGCGGCGGCGGCCGCCGCCGGCGCCGCGGCGGCGGGGGCGTCGGCGCGGCCACCATGGCCGCGGCCGCCGCCGCGCGAGGCTCCGCGAATGGGCCACATGGCTTTGGCTAGGATCCGGTTCCCAACAAACCCTTTGTAGGGGGATGTTCGTTTGCATGCTTCTACGACCCGCCGCCCGCCTTCCGCGCGCAATCAGAGAAAACATACGTAGAGGCCCCACGTTAACTTGGAAATCCCATCGGTCACCGCTATGGGAGCACTTCAGTTTCCAGGCCAACATGGCGACTTTTCTATTGTGGACAATACAGCGCGCGTCTGCGCGTTGTACGCTGCGGCAGCAAACGGGTACGTAGAGGCCCCATGTTAACTTGAACATCCCATCGGTCACCGCTAAGGGAGCACTTCAGTTTCCAGGCCCACATGGCGACTTTTCTATTGTGGACAATACAGCGCGCGCGCGTGCGCGTTGTACGCTGCGGCAATATACGGGTACGTAGAGGCCCCATGTTAACTTGGAAATCCCATCGGTCACCGCTAAAGGAGCACTTCAGTTTCCAGGCCAACATGGCGACTTTTCTATTGTGGACAATACAGCGCGCGGACGCGCGCGCGCGCGCGTCTGCGCGTTGTACCCTGCGGCAGTAAACGGGTACGTAGAGGCCCCATGTTAACTTGGAAATCCCATCGGTCACCGCTAAGGGAGCACTTCAGTTTCCAGGCCAACATGGCGACTTTTCTATTGTGGACAATACAGCGCGCGGACGCGCGCGCGCGCGCGTGCGCGTTGTACGCTGCGGCAGTAAACGGGTACGTAGAGGCCCCATGTTAACTTGGAAATCCCATCGGTCACCGCTAAGGGAGCACTTCATTTCCAAGCCAACATGGCGACTTTTCTATTGTGGACAATACAGCGCGCGTCTGCGCGTTGTACGCTGCGGCAGTAAACGGGTACGTAGAGGCCCCATGTTAACTTGGAAATCCCATCGGTCGCCGCTAAGGGAGCACTTCAGTTTCCAGGCCAATGGCGCGTGTCTGCGCGATGTACGCTGCGGGAGTAAACGGGTACGTAGAGGCCCCATGTGTAAACTTGGAAATCCCATCGGTCACCGCTAAGGAGCACTTCGGTTTCCAGGCCAACATGGCGACTTTTCTATTGTGGAACAATACAGCGCGCGCGCGCGCGCGCGCGCGCGCGCGCGTCTGCGCGTTGTAGCTGCGGGAGTAAAACGGGTACGTAGAAGCCCCATGTTAACTTGGAAATCCCATCGGTCACCGCTAAGGGAGCACTTCAGTTTCCAGGCCAACATGGCGACTTTTCTATTCTGGACAATACAGCGCGCGTCTGCGCGTTGTACGCTGCGGCAGTAAACGGGCACGTAGATGCCCCATGTTAACTTGGAAATCCCATCGGTCACCGCTAAGGGAGCACTTCAGTTTCCAGGCCAACATGGCGACTTTTCTATTCTGGACAATACAGCGCGCGGACGCGCGCGCGCGCGCGTCTGCGCGCTGTACGCTGCGGCAGTAAACGGGTGCGTACAGGCCCCATGTTAACTTGGAAATCCCATCGGTCACCGCTAAGGGAGCACTTCAGTTTCCAGGCCAACATGGCGACTTTCCTATTGTGGACAATACAGCGCGCGGACGCGCGCGCGCCGCCGCGCGCGCGCGCGTCGCGCGCTGCGCGTTGTACGCTGCGGGAGGAAACGGGTACGTAGAGGCCCCATGTTAACTTGGAAATCCCATCGGTCACCGCTTAGGGAGCACTTCAGTTTCCAGGCCAACATGGCGACTTTTCTATTGTGGACAATACAGCGCGCGGACGCGCGTGCGCGCGCGCGCGCGTCTGCGCGTTGTACGCTGCGGCAGTAAACGGGTACGTAGAGGCCCCATGTTAACTTGGAATCCCATCGGTCACCGCTAAGGGGAGCACTTCAGTTCCCGGCAACATGGCGACTTTCTATTGTGGACAATAACAGCGCGCGGACGCGCGCGCGCGCGCGCGCGCGCGCGCGCGCGCGGCTGCGCGTTGTACGCAGCGGCAGTAAACGGGCACGTAGAGGCCCCATGTTAACTTGGAAATCCCATCGGTCACCGCTACGGGAGCACTTCAGTTTCCAGGCCAACATGGCGACTTTTCTATTGTGGACAATACAGCGCGCGCGTCTGCGCGCTGTACGCTGCGGCAGTAAACGGGTACGTAGAGGCCCCATGTTAGCTTGGAAATCCCATCGGTCGCCGCTAAGGGAGCACTTCAGTTTCCAGGCCAACATGGCGACTTTTCTATTGTGGACAATACAGCGCGCGCGCGCGCGTCTGCGCGTTGTACGCTGCGGCAGTAAACGGGTACGTAAAGGCCCCATGTTAACTTGGAACTCCCGTCGGTCACCGCTGAGGGGGCACTTCAGTTTCCAGGCCAACATGGCACCTTTTTCTATTGTGGACAATACAGCGCGCGCGCGCGTCTGCGCGTTGTACGCTGCGGCAGTAAACGGGTACGTAGAAGCCCCATGTGAACTTGGAAATACCATCGGTCACCGCTAAGGGAGCACGTCGATTCCAGGCCAACATGGCGACTTTTCTATTGTGGACACTACAGCGTGCGGACGCGCGCGCGCGCGCGCGCGCGCGTCTGCGCGTTGTACGCTGCGGCAGTAAACAGGCACGTAGATGCCCCATGTTAACTTGGAAATCCCATCGGTCGCCGCTAAGGGAGCACTTCAGTTTCCAGGCAAACATGGCGACTTTTCTATTGTGGACAATACAGCGCGCGGACGCGCGCGCGCGCGCGTCTGCGCGTTGTACGCGGCGGCAGTAAACGGGTACGTAGAAGCCCCTTGTGTCCTTGGAAATCCCATCGGTCACCGCTTAGGGAGCACTTCAGTTTCCAGGCCAACATGGCGACTTTTCTATTCTGGACAATACAGCGCGCGGACGCGCGCGCGCGCGCGCGCGTCTGCGCGTTGTACGCTGCGGCAGTAAACGGGTACGTAGAGGCCCCATGTTAACTTGGAAATCCCATCGGTCACCGCTTAGGGAGCACTTCAGTTTCCAGGCCAACATGGCGACTTTTCTATTCTGGACAATACAGCGCGCGCGCGCGTCTGCGATCGTTTAATAAAATATTCAATTATGTCAGGAGAGCGCGAGCGCGCGCGCGTCGGCGGTCGGCGCTGCGTGGGGAGTTCGTTACTGTCCACAAGAGGGAAGCCGCTAAATGTGCCTGGAAACCCAAATGAACCCTCAGCGGCGACCGATTGGATTTCCAAGTCAACATGGGTCCTGTTGTACGTTTTCTCTGACGGCGCGCGGAAGGCAAGCGGTTGGCGGCAGGGACTCTTAGGGTGATTCCCACGGGGACCCCTGCGGGGATTCCTACGGAGATCCCTACGGGGCGTCCTATGGGGATTCCAACGGGGATACCTGCGGCGACTCTAATGGGGATTCCTACGGGGGCGCCGGGCCGCTCCGCGAAGGGCGGGGCGGCCCGTCCAAAGGTCCACTCCGCCGTCTGAAGAAACCCGCGGCGAAAGGCGGGCACATCTCAAGAACCGCCGGCAACTGCCGGGCAACTGCCGGGCAACTGCCGGGCAACTGCCGGGCAACTGTCGGCGACCAACTGCCAGGCACCTGCCGGGCAACTGCCGGCCATGCTTTCGCGCCGTGCCATAAAGAAAAACCCTGCGCGCAGCCGCTATCCTCAAGTAGAAACTTAAGACTTTTCCGCCCCGACACGCGCCAGTCCCGCCCGACCACGAACTGCCGGCAACTGCCGGGCAACTGCCGGGCAACTGCCGGGCAACTGCCGGCAACTGCCGGGCAACTGCCGGCTGCTGCCGCCGGCGCGGTTTCGGACCGTGCAGGGCGCAGACTTGGAGCGGCCAGCGCCCGCGGGCGTGGAGCGGGAGCGGCTCCCTCGTGCGGGGGCGGGGGATGGGGCTTCGAGCCCGCCCTTGCTCGGTCAGCGCGTTTTTTTTGCACTCCGGCGGCCATCGCAAGGGCGAGTGCGCCCGCCCGAACCCTGCTCTGAACTTCCACGCGGCCGCGCAGCAGCCAAGCCGCAATTTCCAGACAGGCGTCGGTTGCCGCGCGCCTCGTTGGGAGACGCACGGCAGCCGC